ATGTGCTCGGAAGCTGAACGAGTGAGGAGAGAGGAGGAATCTCCCTTCTTCTCTTCGTCAGTCAGACTCTCCAATGGTACGTCCGAGTTCTGAGCGTCCTCTTCTCGCCTGTTCCGACGGAGTGGGCAAATCCCGATTGACTTATCTCCTACTCCTGCTGCGGAGACAGGTTCAATCTGATCGACATTTTTCAAGGAAAGGGAGTTCCCTGCCTTTGCTATTGATACTGCTGACCCACTAACGTCTGAAGCCGGGGTAGCCGTACCAGTTCGGACCACTACCCCGGCTTCACACACATCAGTGATGTCCGTTGGCTGGAACTCACAGTCCAAAGAATCCATCATCGACTCAGGTAACGGATCGGAGGTCAAGAATTCTTCTATCCAGTTGTCCAGATCTCTTTGCGTTCCTGTCGAAGTGGGCATCCACGCTTTCTCTGACTCCGCCAATGGCACGCAATTGCCGACAACGACGGCCACAGACGGTGAAAAGGTGGCGGTCGTTGTGGCATGGACGGGAAGACCCACTGCTCCCTTTAGGGCATTGGCGGTGCAATCGCTACCTAGACTGGAGATCCCCTCTGCTCTTGACCCCACAACCCGTTCTCCCGCAGCACTATTCGCAGGCATATTCCTGGTAAGCGCTCCCATCGTCACGGTGACAGTGGCAACAGCAGAGGCACCACCAAGTGAAGGAACCAGAGATGAGACGACAGGTAAGGTGGCCGGCTGAGGTTGAGTTATGGCCAGTGTGGTGGGCATTCCTGCAAACTCTGAGGGGTGATATTGTTGTCGCGGAACGGAGTGGTCAGCGCAATAGCCAAAACAAGCTCCTGCACTGGAGACGTCATGTTGCACGGAATTGAACAGGTACTTCCCCCTGCCGTCCCCAGTGAAACAAGCCACTGCCCCTGCATGACACCCCTTCTTGGCGCCGTTATGTGCAACTTCGTCTTCAGACGATGATTCGACCGTCCTTGCGACAAAAGCAGGCCGGGAGGATTGCGTGCGCAACTGTGACGAAGACGATAACATGCAATTTATCCTCGCGCGCTTCCGGCTTTTATCAGTCGCTACAGTCAAAGCCCCGCTATCACTTGTCTGGACATCACACGACTGACCAGACTCTGTCCCGACGAGCACATCTGAGGGCGGGCAATTAGCAGCAGCAGCAGTCCCTCCGCCGTCACTTCCCAGGATGACCGCAGCGACGGAGGAGTTCGATGCGTACAGAGCACCATCGACGTCCCTAGCATTGCAAGAACTGATGCCCGACGGACTGGCGGCCGGCCCAGCAACAACCATAGGAGTAAACGGGGGTGAAGAAGATTGATAGGATGATGAAAACGATGTGCTTCGCTCTTCGCTGAAGTTATACAAACCTCGCCTAGCCAAGACATCCAAAAGTTCTGTAGAGGAAATTGCGCCGTACAAGTTCGGCGACGATGCCGAGAACTCTCTTTGCCGCTGATGCTGAGAGGGACGGCAGCCGTCGTCATGGTAACCCCCACTATGACGACGTTCATAGCGGAGTTCGCCATTAAGATTTCCCGAGGGATCATCTTCAGTACCCACGTGACTATCCTCACAGGCCGAAGGGGAAATGTAAGGCTGATATTGATAACCGCCACCATAGACGGCAGTCAGTACAAGCTTCGGGCACTCGTACCGCCTCGCGTAAGCGGACGGCGGCTTAGGAATGCATGGCTCTGGAGGACGACACATAGATATTTAGATATATTTTCTACCACCGCCTCGGCCTAATAATGTATATAGTTACAGGGAGAGTGCATATATATCGTCACAGGGAGAGTGCATATATATTGTCACACTGTATATATATATATAGTCACTGAGAACTGTCCGGCGAGCCGTAGGCAGAAAGGGAGAAGAAACAAGAAACGGGAGCTGGGATAGACTGTTTCGTCGAGTGTCACCGCCTCATCAGAAGTCTGAACATATATATTCTACCACTTCCTCGCCGTCTACAACTACACCCTCGACATGTTTTCAGTCAACTCTCTCTCTCTCTCTCTCTCTCTCTCTCTCTCTCTCTCTCTCTCTCTCTCTCTCTCTCTCTCTCTCTTCCTCCCTGCCCCCTCTCTTTGTTATGTATGCAT